ACTTTCACCAGCGCTATAACAGGGCCACCGGTGTTATCCACCGGCGTTAGTCATTGACGCCCTCCCACTAATTCGCTTTCTGTGGCCGTCAACAAGAGGAGCAGGATAGATGAAGAGTAGTACACTTGGTATCATACAAGTATCAGAGAGGCAAGCGAAAAATAGACTGTTCCGGTCCGTCAAATTTCGATCGGAAGAGGTTTCGGCGATTGATTTCGGCCATATCAAACGAAAATCTCCATCAGCTGGACAACCTTCCCACGCAGATATTTTCCTCTACACTATGTTCGAGGACCTGATTGTCCGTCGAAGTAAACCTCACTGCGTGCACAAAATTAGCGTTTTCCCAGAATAGGTTTGGCCGTCGAAGTTCTCTGCGGATTCATACTCTCTTAAAACAACATGACCCAAGCAGGCAAAGATCAAGGCACCCAATGGTCCAGCGATGTGATTAAGGATATCTCCTCCACCCACAATCAAGATGTCTACGAGTAACGCTGAAGCATAGATAAAACATGTTCCTTCTACCCTTGAGAGAGCATCCTCCGGCAAAAGAATGTCAGAAGCCTCTGAACACGTCGACGCAGCAAGCACATCTAACAGAAAACATGTGCAGACAGACATCACCGGCTCTTCCGCTTCTTACTCTCCCTCTTCCGCTCTTTGTCCAACTTCGCATCACCGACTTGGGCACTCGGAATGTCCTCGCCATCACCTCTTCGAAGCCCCCCACTTTCCTGGTCTTGTCCCGCCCTTGTTGTATCTTGGCCGGCAACACCTGTTCTAAGGTAGTGCTTCTTGCTCTCCTTCGTCTTCTTTGGCCGTTCGATCCCTTTTGTGCTCGCTCGTTGGGAACCTGGACAGGTATCAGCAACGATACTGCTGTCTGCATCCTGTCCTCTGTTTGTCCTTTTCTTGGGCTTCTTCTTCTGGGCGTCGCCACCATCATCACCGGGTGGTTGTCCCGACCTTGCAACTTCGGGTCCTGATGGTTCTAGTTGCGCGAGCCCTTTTCGCCGTCGCCCCCGTGTTCCCTTGGAACCGTCACCGGCAGTGTCCACGCCATCCTCTGCTGTTGCCGTCTTCCTTTCACCCTTTGGTGCCCCTACGGTGTTCGCTTCTTTGGTGGATGAGCAGGAGTTACCCTCTCCGCTGGCATCGTTAGGTTCCCTGGCATTGCTTCTGGCTATTGTTGAAGCCCCTGGGATAGACGCTGGGGTGTTCGCGGTGGTGACGACTCGAAAGGGGGTCGAGTCGACCACGTCCCCCGCAAGGGCGCAGGCCGCGATGAACTCCTGCACACAGAGCACGCACGCACGGGAGAGGGCAGACGGTTCGCAGACAATAGCAGCGAACCCCAGAGAGCGGCGGGAGGCGGCGGCGGCATTGCCGACGTAATGGGGGCTGGAGAGGGGGGTGGCAGCAGCGTTATCTCACGGTATGTATTGCGCAAAAGGGTGAGCACGCTCGAATAGGTCAGAACATCGACTTTTGGCACCACAAGCCCGAGGATTCAGCAGCACGGATGTTCTGTTGTGACCAGTAGGAGAGCTTCGGGGAAGAAACATTTCTCTATCTTGCGGTCAGAGGACAGCTACCCGAGATATGGCATTCAAGGAACGCCTGATCATGAGGGAAGGTCCGTTATCAGCTTTTAGCGTAATCCCTCATGGCGAAGGAACCATTAGAATCCACGCGCGTTCCACTCGCTCTCGACACCACGCCCACTCACTTCCATACCTGCGAAACGAGAGGGATCCCGTGCTTCAGAGCTTTCCGGACCTTCTGTGTATTGTACTTGACGGCGTCAGGCGTGCAAAGCACGAAAGACACGCGCTTGTGGATAATGGCCGACACCTGGTTGATGCACGTTAGGGGCAGTTTCGCCGGGGAGCTTTTTCGGAGAAAGCGACAAAGAAGGAATCAAAGGTTGTTTGGCGGCGGAGTGTACGGCACAGCGAGGGAAGGAACTGATTGTTGCTGTCGGTTCCACCGACCGCGGGAGAGCAACATTTCAAAAGAGGTACACCGTACCTTCTGGGCTTGCGGGTAAGCGTAAGCGGCGTTTGTCACACCAAGATATCTTCTTCGTCAAACTCGTATGTATGTACTGTAGATGTGTACCGTATGCATATAGAGGGGGAGATATGTTACCCCCTCCCCCCAAGATACCCCTCCCCCTTTGTCGCCTCTGGCGATGTTAGCCATCGGGGTTGGGTTTTCGTCGCTTGGCAACGACGTTGTAAAACTCCCGCCGGTGTTGACCATCGGGATCGTCGCTTGGCAGCGATGTTGTAAAACAAGCGTATCACTTCATGAGCTCAGCAACCAGGTTACCGGGGGGTTTTGCCGTCTTTTTTTTTTGCGGTAACCATGAATGGTGGTCGAGTGGATCATGTTGTGCGGGGTCGAGAACCCTCACTTCGCGCAAAGGGGATAATCGCACGTTGTGCTAATATTGGTGAAGCACCCGCGAGGCAGTTACACAGTGCTTACAACTGTCTCGGGAAGTGAAAGCACCAGAGAACAAATTAAGTCATACGCAGCTGTCACCCGTACGCAAGGAAGTATGTACAAGATGCCGAACACCCTTAGCAGGATGCAGCGCACCCTTCATGCGACTCGCCGAATACCTCACGGCGCTTCGCGCTTGTTGTCNTGGGCTTGCGGGTAAGCGTAAGCGGCGTTTGTCACACCAAGATATCTTCTTCGTCAAACTCGTATGTATGTACTGTAGATGTGTACCGTATGCATATAGAGGGGGAGATATGTTACCCCCTCCCCCCAAGATACCCCTCCCCCTTTGTCGCCTCTGGCGATGTTAGCCATCGGGGTTGGGTTTTCGTCGCTTGGCAACGACGTTGTAAAACTCCCGCCGGTGTTGACCATCGGGATCGTCGCTTGGCAGCGATGTTGTAAAACAAGCGTATCACTTCATGAGCTCAGCAACCAGGTTACCGGGGGGTTTTGCCGTCTTTTTTTTTTGCGGTAACCATGAATGGTGGTCGAGTGGATCATGTTGTGCGGGGTCGAGAACCCTCACTTCGCGCAAAGGGGATAATCGCACGTTGTGCTAATATTGGTGAAGCACCCGCGAGGCAGTTACACAGTGCTTACAACTGTCTCGGGAAGTGAAAGCACCAGAGAACAAATTAAGTCATACGCAGCTGTCACCCGTACGCAAGGAAGTATGTACAAGATGCCGAACACCCTTAGCAGGATGCAGCGCACCCTTCATGCGACTCGCCGAATACCTCACGGCGCTTCGCGCTTGTTGTCGTGAGAGCCTGGTCCGGTGAGAGCCCGGCGTGCTCCGTCCCGGCTTCGTAGGGATGCAAGGTCAATGGTCTAACGACTACGGCATGCACGGCTATGAGTACACCCCCCGCGTATTCCGCTTCACAACACCAAGACCAACGTTAAGGAGGGTCTAGAAGTGTACGGAATGTTGGAAAGAAGGAATAGGGTTCAAGGAGTACCTAAATGGACCAATGGATGCAGGGACAAGGCTGAAGGTCAAATTCAGGACCGGGGACATTGGCCTTCGAGAACGTAGCCGAAGACTTCGGAAGGTAGACGATGGAGACGCCAAGGACGACAACACTAGCTCCCGAAAACAGAATATCCGAACATGTAGCAGCTGGCCGTGTTGTTCACTCGTACGTCTAGCAACCCCTGTGCTCCTCCTAGCACTGCTGATGCTTCAACGTGATCGGGCGCAATAGGAATGTCCTACGAGCAGCTGTCTTATCTCTGCATGCAGGCCTCCCCTCCTTCAAGCACGCAGACATCCTCTTCGCCATTTAATATAAACGTCCACTTCTATCAACTCCAATTTTCAGACTCCTCCGTCCTTTGGTAGGATCAATCCGAAATTCTCGTTTCCGATGTGATTGCGGCTCCGAGGCCGAAGACCGTCTTCATGTAATCGCGGAATGCCGGCTGTACGAGAAGGAGAGGGAAGTGTACATGACTGAGCTGGGAAAAGCAGAAGAAAACTACAGGGAAACGTTTGAGGCATGGGATAGCCAGGAGAAGACGTTGGCTGTACTGGGGCATACGATGTGGGTTGAAAGGGCGGGAAGTGATATCGATAGGATAGATAGACTAGGGAAGACTGTATGGGGCCACCTTTGGCAAAGTAGGAAGGAACGATTGGCCATCGGTGGTCGGTCCTGTGGGAACAATGCTCCGTCCTCTCGAGGACGCGTGGTCAATGTTCTAAACGCTGGGGCATGCAAAACACAACATACGAGTATGCCCCCCCCCTCCCTGGGCCTATTTTCAAGGCTCCATTGCTCCACAACCAAGCTTGTGCCAACACCACCAAGAACAGCATTGGTTTTGAAAACATCTCTTCGAGGGCTTTCCATAGACTTATCGCGATGCTTTTTCGCACACCTCTTGATTGTGGAGCAATCGAGCTTTGAAAGTCAGTCTACAGTTGAGGGGTGGCATTTCTCCGCCTCCGAAACTCACCGTCGCCCCGTGCGCCCTGAGCATGGGCCGGAGATCCTTCCTAGCGAGCTCTCCGGTGAGCCCGAACACCTTCCCCTGCAAGCAGCCACCGTTGTCTGCTTGAGGCGCCATGGGCAGGGCTACCGCGGAGATGTTCCACACAAACCTGAATGTGGTTGGCTTGCTTGTCTAGACTAATCGAGGTTGGTACTAATGCCTACTCTGCATGTACTGGTCTAGTTACAGCTCCTTGAGCCAGTTTTCAAAAAGTTTTTCAGTGTGTTTCGTCGTTGTTTGCCGTCTCAGCCTGTATTTGCAAGCACAGCTGTTGAAAAAGACAGGCAACAACTATGCCAACGGCTCTCCTCCTTGCGTAGCACTTCCACTAGTTGTGCAACGAAAGCAGACGCAAGACACAGAAGCTCCACTGAACACACGCCATCGCCCCCGCTTGTTCTCCCCTCAAAAACTCGGCCTCCGCGTATCCGCAACCCCTTCCCATCTGCCGGCCCCCGAGCACAGAACATCAAACATCAAGAACATCAGTGTTCGCCGCCAGAGATCGATCGCTAGCACTAGCCACAGATGCGTGACGAGGGCATGTCGCTCCCCGCCGCGGCACTCGCAATGGCGGTGGTATCTAGCATGTGTCTTTCAGATCACGCGACCGCGTTCGTGCAGGTCCCACCTCTGTGGTCCCAGCAACAGCAGCAGCAGCAGCGCCTTGCGCCGGCCGCGCAGCAACGTCAAGGTTTGGTGCGGCCTCGATCGACAGCCACAACGGCGTCTATGACGGAGGAAGCCTTAGGTGGCAGTGCCAGCGGTCTTCCTCGGGTGCTGTGGTGTGTGTGTGTGTGTGTGTGTGTGTGTGTGTGTGTGCGGGTCTATCTTGGACAGGGGAGCTTGGATTTGAAACATGACGTTGCAACGTGTGTAAGAAGAGTAACCCGCCTTTCAGCTGGCCCGCGGTCAATGAATGCGACGCTTTATGCGGCCATTGCCAGATTGCGCTGCGGGTGTGTAGCGTTGTTGCCTTCATGAGCATGTGTTCGATGAGGATGCAAACCTCGGCAAACCGCTGTTTCGCGCTGTATACAGGAACCCCTCTGTGAGAGTGGGAGACTGTTATCTCAAACGCCAAACTAGGGTCTACTACAAGTAAATAGTCTCATGGTATCTCCGCATGCTGGCCAGTATCACGTTCCATGATGTGCAACACAATCTTCCACCAATCTTCTCTTAATGGAAGCATAGCACTATTCACATGACTAGACTACATTGCACCCGCCCAGCAAATCCTCAAAGGAGGTATGGATTGTGTTACTTCGTTGCGTCGTCTTTTCCGCCTGTAGACTGTTGTGTTAGGCAAGCACATGTCCCGATCCAACGACAGGTTGTTTGTTACAGCGTAATTCATGTTTGTGCAGCTTTCATTCGCAAGCTCTCATGTTCGCCTTCATCGCCAAACAATCGCTATTTCTTATGCTGGTCATTTCACCTCTGCCACAGAAGTCCACATACACAAGGCACGCAATATCTAGTAAATAGCAGTCTCGGTTTGTTGCTTCATATGGACACGAGATATTGGCAATCCAACAAGGAGGAATTTCGCCAAAACAAGGGCCACGATGTACTGCTGCTGGACACTCGTTCGTATTGACACGAGATTGTGGAACCGCTGTAAGAGGGAAACTCGCTAAGCAGGGACCACCACTACTGCTGCTGTACACTCGCTACTGCTTTACACTCACTCGCCACCTTTATAGCCACGGCGAGATTCTGTTCGACTGCATCGCTAATCCGGAGGCCGCCGGCTGGGAGCTGGGCAGGGTCGAACAGAGCGCCGCGTGGACACCGTATCCGGGGGGGGCTCCTGCGAACGTGGCCTGCGCGCTGGCCAAGCTGGGCGTCCCTGCGAGCTTCGTGGGCGCGGTCGGCCGGGATGAAGACGGTGATTGATGACTACCACCACTGCTGCCTATCGTGTATCCTTTGCTGTCTGGTGTTATTTTGGTGTTGGTATTGTTCGCATTTTGTTGATGCTTGTGGTTCATGTCTTCATCCCTGCTACCTTTTTGTCTGTACTTGCGATTGCCTTTTTGTTCTCGTCGGTGTTGTTGCTAGTGCCGGAACTGCTGGGTCGGTTCTGCGGTTAATTCCGCGTGTCCTCTCTGACCGTCTGTCGTTTCTCTCTGTCTGTCTGTCTCTCTGTGTCTCTCTGTCTCTCTGTCTCTCTCCCTGTCTCTCTGTCTCTCTCCCTGTCTCTCTCTCTCTCTCTCTCTCTCTCTCTCTCTCTCTCTCTCTCTCTCTCTCTCTCTCTCTCTCTCTCTCTCTCTCTCTCTCTCTC